AGAGAGAGCGCACACATTAGCTTCTAAAGGTTGTCTGGGATTCATACGCCGACATATCCATCGAATAGCTTGTTGGCATGGATATTCATAGCCAATAGTTCGGATTTGGGAAAAGCAATGAAACTCATATAGCGACCAATCACTTTTTGAGAAAGGGAACTGTCTGTTATTATATTCTGAATAATAGAAATGTGTGTTTCAATCATCCGTAATGATCTGAGCACTGTTTCTATAGCCCTATGTCTCAAACATACACGATTTACAAACGGAAACACTTGTTTTTAGTAAAACACTCATCTCTTAAGCGCACTGAAAATTCTTTCTTTTTATCTTTAAACCATTTTCATTACCACTGTAGTTAGTACAACTAATAAAACATATATACAACTACAAAAACTACACAACACTTACGTACATACAATTATATAAAACAATAACAATATACATAACTCGGATACGTAATGATCTCAGACTCCATTTCAAACAGTCGATACCGCGCCAAAACGTAAAAAGCAAAAAAACATACATGTTGTCTTTTACTTTTTTATCTCGTCTATTACTTTTTTATCTCGTCTATTACTTTTTTATCTATAAAATGTTATTTTTCGTTGATAAGTTAGGCTATTTTACCGTTTTTCAGATCGGCAATGGCCTTTTCCACGTATTTTCTTCTTCTAATCTGTTGCGGATTAGGTATGAATTTTATAATGGTATTTCAGCGGAAGGAATTCCGAAAATAACTTTGAATGAAAAAATAATGAACCATATTCACAAATCGTGCATGAACAGGAGCTGAAAATCAATTTCTCAAACAAAGAACCACTGGACATTTTTTGCGTAAGTCATTATTTCATTTGCACCGTACTATATGTTTTCAGATTTCCGAATACGGTACTTCATTGTTGTCTTTTATATGCTCGAGGTGCGACGTAAACATAGACGGAACTCATCTATTTAGGAACCCAGAACCCTGTGGCTTACTCGGAGTATATACAATCAGTTTGTCTTTATTTAATCTCATGAATTCATCTAACATTAGTGCTCTCGTGTACGCATCAATGACGTCAAAAAACTCTTCGACGGAGCTGAGATAAGATGTTCAGTTAGAAATCCCAACGGTATTAAACTTTCTATTTTTAATATTAAAGTTGTTGTTAACTTTATAGGTATACCTTCACAAACGGCAGTCACAACCGTCTACGAAGACAGAAAACTGATCAAAACTCACTACTTGTACGCAACCTTATCAGTAGTAGCTGTTTTAATGGTTCTATGGATAGTTTCCAAACGATGTTATAAAAAACGTCCAGATCAAGAACAAGAAATGGAATCATACGACTACCCTTCCTTCAATCACATGTACCTCGAAGTTAGACGCCGTTTCTTCCCTGAAACATCCGTATGAGTATAAAATCATGTGTATTGAAGAATAGAATGTTTCTATAGCCCTATGTCTCAAACATCTCAAACTCAAACAGATTTCACTCATTTCATCATAACTTCTCTATTGGTAAACGTATTTATAAACTTATAATTGTGGATTTTGTCGTGAATAATAGAAATGTGTGTTTCAATCATCAGTAATGATCTAAGCACTGTTTCTATAGCCCTATGTCTCAATCATATCATAGATCTTTAATTACGCTCTCGAATAAAAGTTATGCAATTTTGCTGGTTTCATAATCTCACAACTTTTTCTGGATAAGAGTTCTAAAGCGAGCTTATTTCTGGAATAGTTCAAACCTTTTTCCAAAGAAGAAATATCATAACATAAAGCAAAATTTTTAAAATTGTTCTCTCAGTTGAAGGTTTTTTTAGTTTTTTTCGTTAGTCCATCAAGTTTATACACTTTCAGCTATGTCTAATCTGTTACCATCTATAGATAGCTGTATCGACGAGTTGGCGATCGATACAAGCTGATGAGAGAAAAGGTAATAGTGGGCCCATTTTCCATTATTTCTCAGTTCAAGCAAAGAAGAGAGAAGATTGTATAGAATGCGAGAATACTTCATCATGACAGTCAAAGTAACTTCGTTGAGAAGTAAAAAAGATTGGAAATGGAAGATAGGAATGTTTTTGGTTTCAAAACGAATGTTTGATGTCTGCTTGCTGTTGATGAACCCACTGTCCATTAAAGCGAGTTTGTTCAGCAGAACGATAATATTTTTATACCAAAAGTGGACTCGATTTTTCTGGATTTATAGCCTGAGGCGTTTTTTTGGCCAAAAATCGTGATTTTTCGTCCATTTTCATAGCCTGAGGGCATTTTTAT